GACCTGTATATGAGTTTGTATGCATTTCATTTAGGACAGATAATCTCAACTGTTTTAGGGTAAGTTGACAATGAGGTCAACATGGTAACGCTGCCCGAACCCCAATCCGGAACGAAACGTCCGAAACCGACCACACCCAAAAACGACGCTTTCGCCATAGTGCTATCTACCAAACCATACAAGGCTTGGCTATTCTGAGGTGCTTATATGGTTCAGAGATGATGCTTTTGGGTGTGGCCATTGGTAAGTGTGAAATGCCTAGCACTGATATTTCACAAGAAAATGATCATGCAATACTCAAAGTCAAACGTCAATTTGTGGCTTACAACTTCAGATAAACAGCAGTGGACTTACATTACCCTTTTTCCTAAATCGTTTTGATAGAAACATAATTGGCACTTATTTAATAATATTATTACTGTTTTGGTGTAAATTGGTTAATATTTTGTGACCGAAATAATAATTTGAAATGTACCTACCTCCTGCAAATGGACGTATTTGGCCAAATTCTACACTTTACTACGCTGTTTATCGCAGTTCTTGTTGAAATCCTTCCAAATATGCAATTCAGCTCAAACATAACGGTATCAAGCACATTTTAAACTAGTTTAAACTGGGTTTCAAGTAGATCCAAGCTGTTTAACCATCGACAAGGTAAGACATCAACTTTGTCCAAATTCGGCGCCATTTTGTCATCCCGTCCACAATTTGGCCTCGTTCTTCTTCCATCCAAGCCATTTAACAAGTAATAATGACAAATTTAACCCTTTGTTAAGGGTATTAAAATAAAAATAAAAATACAAATAAATTATGCGAAATGCAGCATTTTATCACTTTGTAAGATCTTGCTTACGAGTCTTTCAAAACATTCCGTACAAATTTCGTGTGGCAAAGTAACAGGGACGTGACAGGGGGTTAAATTTATTCACGAAGGCTGCGTGAAATAGAGTAAAAACTAAATACAATCATACAAACGTTTGTTTTATTTCTCGTAGATATTATTACCTGTATTATGAACATACAAATTAAATGCTGATTGTTGGTTTTATCATTATACTGGGTTTTGCATGCCTTTGCTTTTATTTTTGAAGTCTTCACCCCCCTGTCACGTCCCTGTTACTTTGCCACGCGAGATTTGTACGGAATGTTTTGAAAGACTCGTAAGCAAGATCTTACAGGGTGATAAAATGCTGCATTTTGCATAGTTAATTTGTATTTTTATTTTAATACCCTTAACAAAGGGTTAAATTTGTCATTATTACTTGTTAAATGGCTTGGATGGAAGAAGAACGAGGCCGAATTTTGGACAGCCGAACGGGATGACAAAATGGCGCCGAATTTAGTAGTCCGAGGTAGCGCCACCAAGTCTAACACACTGTCTACGGTTAGATAGAAAACTTATAATCCATGGGATCAGAGAGCTTACTCCGATATCGATAAGCTTACTAATAAGCACATTATGTCCGATATGATCGAAGGCCTTTGTGTAGTCTAAAAATAATAGGCCGTATTCCCTAACCGCTTTTCGTTCAGTTTTGTTGCTCCCCTTCGGGCACTACTTTAAATTTACACGAATCTATAGATTTTTATACGCTGAGTATGAATTCACTTGTTGTCACTCGCACAAACCTGCAGCTTTTTTGTATTTTACGATCAAACATCAACATATTTTATTAAAAGTTCCGCCATTTTATTCAGGAAACTTCACGTTATATACAGTTATTGTACTAGTTCAAGTCTCTTAGCAGGGATTTGCACGCGGTTTTACGTATTTTTTCTCATCCTTGTGAGGAAAATATACAGAAATAAATAAAAATATAGATATTTTTCCACAATATTAAAATGCGAAAGGTACTGTGACATGTTTTTAAATAATCAGGAAGTAATCTACTATTCTTTATTGCACCAACGTTTGGGTTTTTTGTCTCACCTTCTTGATGTGAAATTGCAAAGACCGTGACTATATCCACAATAATCCACAACTATGTCCTTGGTAAAGTTGTTTATTTTATTTAAATTATGTTCATAATTTTAGCAATGAATAAGGAGGACAATATATTTGTTGTTTAATAAATGTTAGACCTATATGGACCATTGCCATTGTATTATTTATAAAATTAATTTTTGCTATCATGACATTGAGCTTTATAAAAAAATCTTTTGGAAGATGTCTTTCACTCTAAGACAGACTGACAGCCTTAGTACTTTTGTTCTGTTCATATGGAGTTAACCCAGCTTAGATTAGCCATATTTTTTTAATCACTTTATTGTTATTAAAGTATTCACATTAGCAAATGGTGACCATGCATACAGGACATAGCCCCCAATTGATTACAGCTACAATACAACAAGCTTGCTTGGTTTTTCAATTTCTGAGACTGTTGAGGCAAGCATATATATGGGCTTGCTGGAACAAAGGTACTAAGCAGTAAGCAAAAAACTGTATTCACACAAGCGAATCTCAAAGTCATGCCACCTATAAATTGATTGAGCCATTTGCAACATATTGCCACGATACATCATCACCTTATAAAGCTCTAATTCTATTTGAGCTGCTACTCATTAGCAAGTGGAGTTCTAAGGAAAAATTTATTAATTTATATATGACCAGGCAGGCACTTAATGTAGTCTGGCACCACTACCTACCAATATGCATTAGTTACATAAACCTTTTTTCCAGTTTGCCTGGCCAAGACCCTTTTTTCCATATCTTAGATCTGATAACAGCTGGGCATTAAAATAACATTTCTTCATTTCCTTAGGGGGTACCAGAGCCAGCCGGATACCCGAGCTAGCTCGCTTTGCTGTGATCTAACGTTGCTATGTAATTTAAACTAATACTCATCTTGCATTTATATGGAACTGCATGGGCTGGCCTGTCTAGGTGAGATCTTGAGAAATAAAAATATATCGTATTATACTATTTATAGCAGTGAGACCAGTGATTTGTTTTGGCAAGCCAGCTAGCCCACCTCAAAAGTCTCCTGTAAACATGGGATGAAATCAACTTGGATACCTGGGCTGGCTCATCTCCATATAAACACCCCCATAGGAAATTTCAAAGTTAAAATTTCTTTTGAAATCTAATTCTGAGGGATAAAACCTTCAAAAGTTTAAATGTTGACAAAAATTTCAAGTAGACAGTACCCAGGAAAATTGCCTATTCACATTGCAAGGCTAAATTATGTACATAATTTCAGTATTAAATAAATAAAATAAACAACTTTACCAAGGACAAGTGAGTCATTGTGGATGATAGTCTTTGCAATTTCACATCAAGGTGAGGAAAAAAACAAAAGTTGGTGCAATAAAGAATAGTAAATTAGTTCCTGATTTAATATTTACAAACATGCATGTAGTATATTTTTATTTATTTCTGTATAATTTCTTAACATTTATTAAACAACAAATATATTGTGCTTTCTATTCATTGTTAACAAAAATTTGAAAGAAAAATTGCCTATTTACATTGTAAAGCTAAAATTATAAAATAAACAACTTTACGAAGGACCGGACATAGTTGTGGATATAGTGGCAATCTTTGAGTTCGTGGATATAGTCACAGTCTTTGCAATTTCACATCAATAAGGTGATGTAAAAAACCCAAACGTTGGTACAATAAAGAATAGTAAAGATTAGTTCCTGATTATTTGAAAACATGTAACAGTACCTTTCGCATTTTAATATTGTGGGGGAATATCTATATTTTTATTCATTTCTGTATCGTTTTCTCACAAGGATGATGATAAAAAATGCGTAATACTGCGTGCAAATCCCTGCAAAGAGACTTGAACTTGTACAATAACTGTATATAACATGAAGTTTCCTGAACAAAATGGCGGAAATTTTAATAAAAAATGTTGATGTTTGACCGTAAAATACAAAAAAACTGCAGGTTTGTGCAAGTGACAACAAGTGAATTCGTACTCAGCGTATAAAAATCTATAGATTCGTGTAAATTTAAAGTAGTGCCCGAAGGGGGGTAACAAAAATCGTTTTCTAAGCGACTTTTGGGGCCAGGGAATACGGCCTATAATAGACAGATATGCTTATCAGGAGAGTCGAGGTGGAATAGCCAATTATGCATATCGAGAAGGCAGTATGCTGTTGATGATCCTTTGAAACAACCAAATTGCTGTATGTCAAGATTATTCACGACGTCTTTCATCATCCATTGTACAACAAAGTCCTCCGGGACTTTTGAAAGACAAGGGGTAAGAGAGATTGGTCGAGTATCTTCTTCACAAGTCGGTTGTGACACTTTTGGAACTGGGGAAATGCACGAATCTTTCCAGGCGGCAGGAAATGTTCCAGAGGTTAGGGATGTGTTAAAGATAGTTGCAACGGGTTCTGCAAACTCGTGAGCAAATTTCTTTAATTTGCGAGGTGTAATATTGTCAGGGCCACATGCTTTGAAAGGTTGAAGAGTACAAAGTTTCCTATAAACTTGGTAAGGTTCGATTATAGGTGGTGTGACAGGAGCGGGTAGGAATGCCGGTAGTACTGAGCAATCAAGTGGAGGGATATCTGCATTAACAGATGTATGGAAACTGTTAAGACTGTTTACCAATTCGGAATCAGATAAGATTTTCCCGTCACGCTCGAGACTGAAGCTCGTGTCCTTTCTTGATCTTCCGGACATTTTATTTACAGCATTCCACCACTTTCGACAATCATCCTTACGAAGATGCTGAATCTTATCCTTATAAAACATTTCTTTCCTCTGTTTTATTTCTGATTGCACTTTGCACTTGAATAGTTGCCATTGTTGCTTATCACCTCTATTGAATGCTTTTTGACGACCTTTAATAAGTTGCTGATAGCTTTAGGCAGGCTTGACATTCTCCATACAGTTTTAATTTGAATCAAAGAACACTTTTACGTGAATCTATTGCAAATTTGTAGTTATGTTTATTATGTTTTGTCATTCCAGTGAAACGATAGGTTTTACAGTGTAAGGATGATCTCTATACAAGTTTTTAGGTGATTTCAAAAGCTTTTTATTCTGACTCTGATTCCGACTTCAAATTTGTCATCTCGTATTGTGTGATTTCAATTTCGTAATAACTTTCAGCAGTGTCAGGGTGATCTTCTCCATACAATTTTAATCTGATTTGAAGGGCATGTTGATGTGAGTCTAACGCTGCCTCGTAATCTTTCATTGCATTTTGTGTGACTCCAAGGATATGATAACTTCTAGCAGTCGCGTAATGGTTCTCTCCCAACACCTTCAAACTGATTTGAAGGGCATGCTGGGATGAATCTAATGCTGATTTGTAATCTTTCATCTCGTATTGTGTGACTCCAATGTTGTTGTAAGTTAGAGCTGTATCTGGATGATCTTCTCCAAACAGCTTTAATCTGATTCGAAGAGCTTTTTGTTTTGACTCTAATGCTGACTTGTAATCTTTCATTTCGTGTTGTGTGTCCCCGATGTTGTGATAACTTTCAGCAGTGTAAGGATGATCTTCTCCAAACAATTTTAATCTGATCTGAAGAACACGTTGACGTGACTCTAATGCTGACTTGTAATCTTTCATTTCATGTTGAGTGATTCCACATTCGTAATTACTCTCAACAGTGTCCGGATGATCTTCTCCAAATAGGTTTAGTCTAATTCGAAGAGCATGGTTATGTGACTCTAACGCTGACTTGTAATCTTTCATCTCGTGTTGTGTGACTCCCATGCTATGATAACTTTCAGCTGTGTCAGAATGATCTTCTCCAAACAATTTTAATCTGATTTGAAGTGTGTGTTGATAGGACTTTAATGCTAGCTCGTAATTCTTCATTGTATGTTGTGTGACTCCAATGCTGTAATAACTTCTAGCAGTGTCAGAATGATTTTCTCCAAACAGTTTTAATCTGATTTGAAGAGCATGTTGATCGGACTTTAATGCTGGCTTGTAGTTTTCCATCTTATATTGTGTGCCCCCAATGTTGTTATACGTTTCAGCTGTGTCGCGATGGTATTCTCCATATAATTTTAATCTAATTTGAAGAGCATGCTGATGTGCGTTTAAAGCTGACTTGTAATCTTTTATCTCGTGTTGTGTGACTCCAATGTTGTTATAAGTTAGTGCAGTGTCGGCATGATCTTCTCCAAACAATTTCAATCTGATTCGAAGTGCATGCTTATCGGCCTCTAATGCTGACTTGTGATCTTTCATCTCAAATCTTGTGACTCCAATGCTGTAATAACTTAGAGCAATGACAGGATGATCCTCTCCAAACAATTTTAATCTGATTTGAAGAGCTTTTTGTTTCATCTCTAATGCTGACTTGTAATCTTTTTTCCGATGCAGTGCAACTCCAAGGATGTAATAGGTCAGTGCTGTGTCAGAATGATTTTCTTCATGAATTTTTGAAATGATTTTAGGAGTATTTTGTTTCGTCCATAATCTTGAATCGTTCTCTTTTTCTTTCTTTTTTGTTTTACTCTAAGAATAGAATGTAATGTGGTTGGTATGTTACACTGCTAATCCCCCCCCCCCGTAATTTTCCAGTAAAACGTACTGGCAGTCTCCCAGAATTATGGGAGCTGACAATAAATTTCAATTAGGGTGGGTCACTAAGTACGTTTTGTCATTCAGCAAGAAGAAAGCGAAAAAATAATGCAAGATTATATATTTTCTTTGTCATGAAAAGTATCAAGTTACGAATAAGGAATATCAAATATCATTGGGCGCAGATATCGTTGAGCAAAGATAGATCACATTTCAATAGAAAGAAAGAAAGCACACGTCGTCGCAAACGTTACAAGGAAATATATTTCTAAAATTTAAAGGATTTGGAGTTGTAACGAAATAGACAGATCTTTTGATTTCTGAAATATCACAAACTACAAACGGAGCAAACCTTGCATGTAAACAATGCTACTTGGACTGTTATTCAAAGCGCTGTTAAATTTCCAAATTCCAATTCTGCCATGCATTCACTTCGCTGAAACTTGATGCTTAAGAACTATCATCCTCGCACAGGGTCTTTTTGGGAAAAACCCTGGTATCGGCTGGTCACGTGACTCTACAAAAATTAATTGCCCAAGGGGGAGTGGCAAAGTATCAAATTACATGCTTTATTGCTTCCACATAAAACGTTAAATTTCAAATACTAGGAGTGGAATTTTGCGATATATAGTTCGAAGCGCCCGTTAACTTTTATTTTATACCTCTGTTTGCTTTTAAATTACAAAAACACTGTAGCATTTTATCAACAGTCAAGTCAAGAAACAAACAAAATGTATACTTCAAACTTTGAAGTTGGCCATTCTCTCACAAACATATTTTCATATCAAACTGGTCAGTCGTCAACGTTTGTACATTTTCACTTTTATCTGTTCCTAATAAAATTGTTTGAAAACGTTGATAAACTTTGTGCAGATTTACTAATAGTATGCGTCTCATTAGATTTTATGAATTTTAGTGAAAGTTGATACAATTTTGAAATGTAATTAACTTTTTGTCATCATTCACAATGTAATATCTGCATGGACACTAAATGCTCACTTTAAAACTGTCGATGGTTTATCTTTGAAAATACTTTTAATTAAATAGTTCATCATATTTATTAAAAAAACCTGTAGATCGGTAGGATAGGAGGTTGGCAGGTAGTAAAGTACAACAATGTTCAGCCTCAGGGCGTGTATCATCAGGTGGTATATACAATCACGCCTTTGCCTGATAATTTTTTGGCCTCCATGCACTAAGTTATGGGGTATTAAACAGCAATATTTCTAACAGTATTTTTCTGATGTTCAGTACACATTTTATAATATGAACATAGTCATAGATAATTCCATAAACCACGGCATAAACACTGACATATCACTCAGTCTGATATGCACATGCATGCAGTCATATTTAGCCTGCGTAGCGGCTATCGAGAAAGGACAGCCTGCACGAAACCCCATGTTTCGCCGTATTTACTCGTTCTCTCAGAGGACGAGAAATCTGATTGGTTCAAAATGAAAAAATATGCTAATTTACGCTAAAATTCATACAAACACGGCGGATGTATTATTGAGAGGCGTTTCTTTGAGTTTTGCATTCAAAAGACCTTTATAAAAGCCACGATTTACGGTTGAACAATAGAGGTATTTACGAACTTGGTTCACGAAGCTCTAGAGATATTGACTGTAGTGTCCTCATTGCATTGCTATCTGTTAGCAGCGCCTAGCTCTTCACAAGCGTGTTCGTAATTTTCATCAATTCATCGACGACAAATAGATTTTTTCTTCATGATTTTGTAGCTAATAATTTTGTGCCAGGAGAGAATTGCTGTAAATGCTTATGTCTTATGAACCCGACTTGCTCTCTCTGAAGTGATGGCTTTAGACACTTTTAATATTCTCTTCTCTGCATCGCTCGAAACTTTAACATTTATTATTTCATAATTGAGTCGGTTTTCTTTGAAGATCCGCGGGCTGTATTTAACATAAATATCGGTCATTAGGCCAACCATCTAAAAGCACGGGGAGGGTTTTGATATTCAGCAGGGAAGAGCGGGGCTGATGAATTGAATTGAATAGATAATTATGAATAAGTGGGCTGTATTCAGATACAGCCCGGAAATATTGGGCTGTATCTGAATACAACCCGCTGTTCTAGTATTGTACCTGGATACAGGCCATGAATTGATAATCCATTGAACTTTAATTAAACTACAACCACTTCGATTTACATTTCTAATACTATTTCACACAAACGTATTGAAAATATATTTCAAACTTCAAGTTGTTAAATACAACACTCATTTCCATATCTATTTACTTCTTCTGTCTACATTTTAAATTCCTTGTTAATAAAAAACGTGCATGTCACCTTCGCTCTTGTTAAATTCGCTTCCTAATTCCTCCTCAACTTTTTCACGGACTTCCCGACACTCGCTACTAGTTGTACTGGTTGTGGCCAAAGACGTGTTCATCATACCAACTTGATCAAACGCTTTTGACATTTCTAATTTGTACTCTATGCTAGGTCTCTGATACTGCTGTAACGACCTTACGTCTCTATGACCTGTTTTGTCCATAATTAACTTATCTGGAATTCCCTTTAAGAGACCACGAGTTGCCATTGTTGCTCCAAGACTGTGATCTGTAAAGTTGCCTTCTATTCCAACATCCCGACAAAGCTTCTTAACTACCCCTCCAAGTGTGTTGTAGCCCACTGGATTTGAAGTGAACCAAACTAAAACACAGAAAATTCAGCTGAAGCTAAAAATGGAAATTAACTACAATAAACGATAAAACTAACTATAAAATAACTTGTTTGTACCTTTATCTGAATCAGAATACTTTCGGCGAGGACTCAAATAAAATATGATATGATTAGCGTAAAACTGACTTTACAAATATCCGGTTCGACTTTCTCGTTGGCTGGTGCTTTACTATTCCTTTCGTCCGCCCACTCGTTCCACACATGAACTGCCCATGCTGTATTATGCTTCGTGTTTAACGGGATTCGAGTTTCCTTCATTTTCTGTAACTTTTCGTCGCTAATAAGTGAGATATTTCTTGCATATATTGACTCGGCATGACTAGAATTTGCACTTATACTGATTCGCTTGTACCAAAATCAAGATTTTCAGTCCCTAAAATACTTGAAATTATACTTAATTCGTCATCCAAAATAACAGAATCCGCTAAAAATGTATTTTGGGTTAATCCTGACAGTGAAAAGTCTTCCTCGTCACTAGCCATTTTGTGAAGTGCGAATGCAAACCATTCGTCAAAGTGAGGCCAGAAATTTTACAAAAATATGTAGAAGGACAAAATATAAATAAATTAACTAGCCTGTAACTAGCGTAAAGCTCCTTTGAGATCTTCATCTCTTTCTGTACCCATCTGTTCGCTAATTTAGTTCAACAATAAGTCCGCATACCTCCAAGTATTTTCCTTCACAAATTACACTGAACAACAACAATTTCTATAGAAATTATATCTTAAATTATTCTTTTGAGAAAACCTCCTCAATCATGAAATAAGTCAGTTAAACCCTCGAACCTCGGCTGTTAGCCAGATACAGCCTTCGGGCTTCGCCCTCAGGCTGTATCTGGCTAACAGCCTCGGTACTCGGGCTTTAACTCTCACATATAAAACACGACGCGTAGCGGAGTGTTTTATATGTGATAAAACACGACTACAAGTGCTTTAAATAGCTTAAAAAACGACTCATCTTATACGAGTTCATTGGCGAAGTAATTTTTAAAATAAACTTTGTCTAAACCGAGAAAATCAAAGCTAAAGTTTATGTAAATTAACGTGATTTTTTATCCATATAAAACCACGACACGCTTATGATTTTTCTTTGTGTTTTGCTCCTGAATTATTGAGTTTTTTAAACGGATATACAGGGTGTCTCAAAAAAAACCTAAATCATTGAAATAACGTATTGTTCGAATTTCAATGCCGTAACACAAAGGATTTTGACAGGGTGATTAATTTGTTTTAAAAAATTAAAATATCTTTGTAAAGTGAACGTTTGTTTGCTCATGGGAATTTAAAAATGCTTCGTAAATTGTAATATGCGTAATATGCATTCGTGGGTTTAGTACTTTATGCCTGACATAACAAGTTTACGCTGAGTATTACCATTCATTATAGCAGTTATGTCAATCTTTTATGCACTAGTGGGATTAACTTAGTGCTAGGGCATTGAATATCGAACAATACGTCAATTTCAATGATTTTGGGTTTTTTTTGAGACACCCTGTACAGGGTGTATAAAAAAAACCGCAACCTCGGAATTTCCTAAGAAATCACTTTGCAGTTCCTAAGCATAAAAGATTTTAGACCCCTGGGAATTGAAATCAAATTGCTAATAGATCATATTACTGTTGTTGTACTGTTAAATAAATGCATAAATTTTGCTTTATGCACTCGCGTGTGCAGTAATTTTGACAGTTGTGCCATTTTAAATTCCCATGCACCTAAACTCTTTTGTCCTTTTCTCTCTCGATTTCTTGGGAAATTCCGAGGTTGCGTTTTTTTTATACACCCTGTATTTGGTATGTTTCTTTGTTCTTGACTCAAATAAAACCTTATTTGATTTTGACCACATCAGAATATTTAACAATTACATGCTGGATGTTAATGCATGTGACTCATCTTGGTTTGTTCCAGCCTTGCACTAGGTTAACAGCCTGTTTATGTATCTCGGTTAGGCGGGAAAGGATTTTCGTGATAGGGTGGGATATTTATATGGACAAATTACATTGCCAAGATGAAGCCAGCGAAACGCTTGGACGTCAGATTTTTTCAGAAAAGTGACTGATGCTGTGATGCCTGCTCAGAAGTCTATCCCAGCTGGCTGGGATAGAGTGTTTAATATCAGTTCGTTTTTTTTTGACGTGCAGACAAATTAACCATGGGCAAACCCTACTTAGTTTATATTGCCAATCAGGATTACGGTATTAAGACAAATACTGTCAAGGGAAATCAAAAAGAGATGATTTACATGTAATTAGTTTTGTATTTACATGAAAATTATTCATGAATTGTAGTGATATTTAATTAAATAATGAGCACAAATGAGGATTTCAACATTTTCAAATGCAATACAGTGTCATTCAGCATTCTAAACATTCAGGCAGGGTGTGGCAGCAATTCACGTGCGATAGTAACGTCTAGTTTTAAATCAATGGTAGTTGTACTCCCTGCCAATTGCTGACGCCATGTTACATATGTTCAAATTTTGCATGCTGTATTACAATACCAAAAATAAAAATTTCTGTAATAGCAAAAATACACTATGTTTTTTTAAGTAAGACGTTGCACGAAAAAAATTGGGGTCACTGTTCTATTCGAACTACAAGAAGCAACAGGCTATTTTAGAGTGAAGTGTACGCATATGTTGCCATAGCAACGAACAATGTGTTACCAAAACTAACATAATTTAAAGAAGAACATTAAAATATATGAACATCCCAATATCTACTGTGAGTGCTGCGTAAAACCTAAAAATACGATGTTAATTAATCGGATTACCAGTTAATGGACCTGTAAGGTCAAATTCGCGGGCCTTGAGGATATTCCCAAGCAAGTTCTGCTAATTTAGACAACGGTAACGAACGCGTATACATGCAATAGATCATGGAATCTTATGTAGTGCCAATAATGTTGGTAGAGATGCAACTACCTGAAAAATACAAGGAGAAATTCGATGTTTCGAGCGAAGGCCCTTTGTCGGCCGGCGTAACAAAAAAAAATTATGTTAATTCAATTTCTCCTTGTATTTTTCAGTATAGTTGCTGACAACGAAATTAATTCATAGTCGGGACCCGACCATTGGAATGTTATTAATATTTCGCACCTTCCGAACTTTCTTGAATTGAATCTCTAGTCTGTATTAACTAGCGAACCAGAAGAGTGTTAAAAAATTCAGTATAATATATATCTATAATCATATTTTACAACTGTAGCATGCACTGAGTTCAAAATATGTAAACAAAGCATTTGTTTACATCGGACTTTACAGCATCTTTAAATTATGGTTACATCAGTGCAAAGGCAATCGTTTGACATTGGTAACTTCCGGTTTTATATGCGACACTGCCTTGTGAAAGAGTTTTTCTGTAAGAACATTCCGTTTATTATCGCTGGTTCTTATGAGTCTTTTTTCTCAGTTTACCGGCGGTGGTTAATGAAAGGGCCTATTGTGTAAAGGGTCGCTATAATTGGCGAGAGCTGTTGCGCACACCTTAATGCTATTTGTCTATATCGAGTATGATTGTCAAATGTGAATATATCGAGTAATTGGCAAAGCTAAATATCAAATACATGAATTAGGAAATAAACTAGAGGTAAAGTTTAAACTTCAAACACAAAACAGGAACGACAGAGTTCTTCCAAATGTTTCATCAGAATATCAAATGTTTTACATGTTATTTATCGATGATCCTAGCATTCCTACGAGATTTCTTAAAGAATGCTTACAGGGAAAATAGTCTTAGATGAACTTGGAGATCAAAATTTAAAAAACACTTCTTTAATAATAGCGCATGCGCATTCAAACTGGTTACGCATTAAAAGACCCTGGACAAAAATGAATGCTGAGGTGATTTATTTGTTTCACATTCTCATATGACTACAACCAAATCAGACATTACCTCGATTAATACAACTGCTTTTATATAGTTTACGACTTATAAGTTGGACATACATAACATATACGGTATAAGCTAAACGTTCACTGTAAAAGACTTAATTAATCAACATATTTGAATATACTGTTTCCTTAATTCTCGATCCAGTTCCTGTTTTTTTTGTATTCATTGCATTGAACGGATTTCCTCAATGATTAAACGACAAACCGAATTCCAGCATGTGTACGCGTCACCCACGTCATGAGACCAATTGTTGCATTTTCCAACAGAAAGGCCAACTGTAACCTTTCCTTTTGGAATGTTGTTACAGAAGCCATCCAGTGTACCAGGACGATGAAGGCTAAGATCGTTGACCCTCTTTCCACTATGGATGACAGCATCGATGGGTGCAGGGGATGAGCATTCTTTACCATTGATTGTAATAAACCAACGTCGACAACATTTCCCGTTGGAACAAGTCACGAGCCGCAAGTCTCCTTGATACGTCACACGAAGGGCTGAGTTGGTGTGAGCCTTTTGAAAATCACAAGTCTGTAAAAATAAGCAAAAATAGAAAGGAATATATCATATATTCCTATTAATAAAAAGGAATATACCATATATATCATATTCAATATGGTTACTTTCGAGAATTAACTCATCATACATGTATGAAATTATGTCAATGATAAAAATATTGCATCATTTGCATGCATGAGTATAGTCTAAACATAGACATGCAGTTTACCTGAATCTGACCCTTATCTCGACCATCATTAAGATTTTTAAAACTGCACTGTTTTACCAGTGGGGTCTGATATGTTGTCTGATGTGGGGTTGATTCGTGGCCACCACAGGAGCAGCGACATGTGCTGGTGGCTTTCTGAAATAAAAGAGTGTAGTTTGCACGAATACTGTTCTTATTCCTTGTTCATATTCCCTTGGAAAAATAGTGACATCGGCGGACAAGCACCGATCTTACTGTAACTAAATCATTAAAGGACATCCCTTTTATAGTTTTAAGTCTAGTGTGACACCAGCTAGGACAAAGCCCGCAAAGTATATATATATATATATATATATATATATATATATATATATATATATATATATATATATATATATATATATATATATATATATATATATATATATATATATATATATATATATATATATATATATATATATATATATATATACGTGCAGGGAGAGAACCTGTGCCGGTTTGGTAAAGTTAAAACATGGATATTCGATATACGGTGCGTTAGGAAAAACTGGAATTAGCCGGGAAAAATCGTACAAAACGTGTTTATGACCTTCATAACTATTGGACGTCAATGACCGCCATCTAATTGGCTTCACTTTTCTCATCAGCTTCGGATATATACAGGGACGCCGGAAGCGATGTGAAGAGGCGGGGGCAGCCATTTCAAAAGGGCACTTCATTTTTCTGGGCAGCAATATTTGTTAAAACTTTGCCGTATGGATACTCGATTACTTGTGGCTATTATGGGTCGGCAAACTTCGACATTAATTTTGAACAATTTTATTCGTTGCACCTTGCTAAAGGCGCAAAATAAAATCAGTAGACGAACGTATATATTGCTTGATTTAGCATTAATTTTACCACAACTGGATAAAAATTAAGCAAAGATTGCTTAAGTCCGATCTGCGTATGTGCACAAAGGATCGAGCCCTCTTTTCATTATACAAACAGTTTATTGACGTTTTTATTTCATTTTATGTTCTTGCAAAGCTTGATTGTTGTGTCTTGATAATTTATCATACTCTAGAATCATGAAAATATAAATAGTTTTCGAATAAAATTCTATATTTTGGATACCGAAATGTAAACAAAGCCTTTGTTGACTGTACCGCATCTTTAAACATTGCTTAAAAATAGTTCTAAATTCCAATTTCTGTGAATAATCACAAATTTCGAGGCGCAGTTTTGACAAAAAGGGCAACCTGTTTCCCCCGTGCTGCCCCCGCAATGTTTGGGCAACGGGGGCAGTTTCCCCCGCTGCCCCCGTGGCTCCGGCGCCCCTGGATATATAAATGGACCTTACTCATGGATACAACAGTAACGAGCTCTATACATACTAATCATAGTATCGCAGTCATTTATTATCCTATACCCTCAACCACCATCAGTAACAGGTATGCGCGTTAACTTAGCAGCGCTTAGCCTAAGCTCTAAGGGGCAGGGAGCTATAACTATATATATATATATATATATATATATATATATATATATATATATATATATATATATATATATATATATATATATATATATATATATATATATATCACTGACCCAGGCTGTACTTCCCGTCATCATCGTCACTGCATGGTCACTGTTAAATGTGAATGAGGTTTGAAATGAAATGTAGAAAATACGAAAACAAGCAACATACCGCATACAGCACAGCCATGGAAAGCAAAATAAAGCCAACAGAGATGGTTGATTGTTTAATCATTCTGAAAAGTTTTCTTTGGAATGCCTTCAGTTGGTGTTTCTCGTTCGACAAACTGTGTAATACTGAATATTCTTGTCTTGTGCTTCAACTTTATCATCGTGAAGGTCAATTTGAATATATATGCCGTTGCTGAAACGGATGTCAAAATTTGAAGGGGCTAAACTATCTATTTTTGAACTCATTTTCTTAATTGACACGGCCAAGAGAAGGTTTTTAAATTTTTAACATGCAAACCTACAGCTATAGGGTACAAGTTCAAGGGTCTATTACAATAATAATAATCCGCGTTTATTATCAGAGTATCCACCAATAAAGGCGTCTCTTCATCTGATAAAACTACATTCTGAAAAATTTACACTATATACCAGTATTTAATATTACTAACTGAGGGCCTGTTCATATGGGCAAAAGTTATCCCGGTTAACGAGAAAACTTTTCGACTAGCCAAATACTTTTGTTCTGTTCATATATGGAGAAACTTTATCCCGCTTACCGGGTAAAGTTTTCGGCTGTGACGTGGCACTGAACATCAATTGAATTGAAAAGTTGCAGACACGACAGAAAGTTATCCCGCTAAGCGGGAAAGTTGTGTTCATATGGGAAAAACATCCCGGTCACCGAGATCTCGCCTGTCAACAAGCGAGATCTCGGTACACGGGAAAACTTTTTGTCTCATATGAACGCAGTGTAACTTTTCATATTATTTTCATACCAAGGCGAGATCTCGCTTGTAAACTTGTCGAAACGTTTTCTCGCTAACCGGGATAACTTTTGCCCATATGAACAGGCCCTAATAACTATTTATTATATACACAAGGTCTGGATATGAGGTATTCTGCAATCTGATTGGTTCTTTACTAGGCAGGATATTAGCTCATATCCTGCTAGTAGGGAAAAACACAATGGCGGCCAACCTGAATTTATAGCCTTCACAGGATTAAAAACACAATGAAAAAACTCTCACAAATTGTTTTCAGGTTAGCAAATAAATTTTTAAAATTGAAAATGGTTAAAAATATATATTTTTGAAAAAATTATCGGCCGAAAGAGCGAAGATAAAAACATAAACAAAATAGAAAAATATTGAAAATATCCGAAAGTCTGTGAATTCAGACCTTCTGTATATAATAAAACAGTTATTCCACTCACTCTCGTCGAATATGAGCGATAGCCGCGATTCGGCGCTACGCCGCGCATCATCGGCTATCAGCTCATATTCGACCAGAGGGCGCGGAAGCATTTCGAAAGTGGAGGGGCATTGGCAAAAAGGGGCACTTTTGTATATGATCAAAATCAAACGATTTTATGTTGTTCACGAGCAGAACGAAAATTCTTGAAAATACGGAGTCTCTATAACTTCGGAAATGGCCTTTACAGAGTCGTTACTAGTGCAAAAAGGGCATCTTTCTTTCCAGCAAAATAGGGCGTTCATACAAGAAATACTTTTTTCGTTCTGTAAATGGGGCACTTTAGCCCAGAAAAAAGGGCACTTTTTTCACTTTTAAAAAAAGTGGAGGGCACATGCCCCCATTGCCCCCCCGGCCCCTGTATTCGACTCGAGTTCGTAGAATAACTGTTAAATATGCTAATGCTAATTTTCAAAAATATTTACAATGATTTGTGATTACATTGTCAATGAAGAGACAGCAAGCTCTTGAAGGAAGTTTTATACAGAGAGGGCAATAATGTTTGTGGTCTAGACAGTTCCTTATCTGAACTTGGGGAATATATAATTCAATATCTTTGAAGCCGAATGCTGAAATGTATTTGTGGTTAATGGCAATGCCTAATGGCGTACGTACATGTAATTTGCAGTTTAAAATTAACGGGCCCGAGTTGTCAGAATAAATGGTTTTAAAAACACATTTAAGCAGAAAAGAATATATGAGTTCTTTAAGAGGCAACCAGCCCAATTTCAAAATATCAGCTGTATAGTACAGTAGCTATTGACATATAGCGTCCCCTGACAAAGCTGGCAGCAGCGAACTGGAGGCGTTGTAGGCGCTTGAAGAGAAAATCGGGTAATGGGTAAAAAAACAGTGTAACAGTAGTTTAGTTTTGAAAGAACTATATGTACTAATGATTCAGCTAATTCTTTCCTGCATGAGCTTAAAACCCGTAAAGTTCTTAATCTTCTTGAGAATCCTAATTGTACCGTCACTTAAAAATAGCTTAACCTGCTCGTCCCATTTCAGGTTCTCGTGAAAATGTACTCCATGCAAGTACAGTGCATGGTTTGCAGACCTCCACGTATTCTAAAGTCTTACGTGAAATACTATAAACTAGGGGACGATTTGTGTCTAATCCATGCATGGACCCGAGACATTTGGCGTGTAGACAACAACATATAGCCTTCGCTTTGTTATGGTTCAGAGCTAAGTGGGACTTACTAGACCAGGAACTCACGATGTTCAGCGAGAAGTTCAACTCTTCCGCAGTTTTATCAAACCCCCCCCCCCCGTCGCCAAAAAATTTTCGGTCAGTGTACCATTTTTGGGGTCAAAAATTTTTTCCGGAGTACAAAAGTTTTCCAGACGAGTACGTTGCAATTGCTTTCGAGGGACTTTATCTCATTTTTTCATGCCAAAATTCGGTACTTAGCCCAAAAAAACAGATCTCTTGTCCTTTGCGCGGAAACATTTAACACACAAAAAAGGCTGGGGCCCAACAAAAATTTTTCAGGGGCCCCCAGCAACTCGGGCCCGGGGCAATTTGCCCCCCTGCCCCCCCTCTCTGCGGCCCTGGTCCTTATTCAATTAATTAAATATGGTTGCTGAAACGGATGTCAAAACATAAAACAATATTAAAAAATGCAATATTAGTTTCAGAATTAAACAACAATTATAAATGTAAATTACTCATTTTGATACAACTATTCTTGATATGATCATGGATAATATATTTATTTTATTATCCATGATATGATAAATCATTGCTCAATTTTTGCGCCCGCGGTCTTTTAGACCGCGGAGCGTATTGCACTCACTGATCTGTACTAAGACTGGATAACGCATCTACAGTATACAAAAGTGAGCCAGAAGTCACCGGCCGCCACCCGATTCAAGGGTCCCACTTTTGTATAGATTTGTATTACAGATGGTAGTTTTTCGCGTTTTTTGCCTTGGCTACGTTTCTGACCGGGCCATGCAGTTTTACAATCACAAAGATAGAAGCATACAAGAAGAATTTTGAGCAAAAAATTTGGAGTATTATGGCTTTATAACGCCGCGAAACGGGATTTACAATTTTGAAGGAGTGGAGAGCCTCAGACTTTATTTATCAACACGAGCTCGTTTTGCTACTTTCATACAAAATCAACTCAAAATATACAAGAATTACTAGCTGTTACTGGACGAATATTCTCAGAAAATTTGAAGAAATGAAGCAGCTACATTGTGAACGAAAGCGTACAGACAGGGGCGGATCTAGGGGTGATCAGAGCGATCACGCGACTAAGGTAAAAAATGGGCAGAAAATTGTTAAATTAAAATAGCAGTCCAGTTATCAAACTTCGCGCAGTGTATTGTATTGAAAGTTTAACAGTCCAGTTCTAAGATATCATCCAGTAGCAAGGCCTTCGAACATGAACGCGCAGAAAAGCGGTCTTACGCATGAGTTTTGCACGCTCTGAGTCAGATTCCAGCCATCTGATTGGCTATCAAGATTTTTGCGCGATCTGTGGGGAGTTCTGATCGCTAAAGCGATCAGGGGCTTGAATACAGGCTATCCTATTGGCTAATTCAAAAAAAATCCTCAATTCCCGTTGGCTGGATTTTTTTGATCGATCATACCGTTCAGGCTAATAGTATGCACGGAAAGGTCTATGACGTTGCTGGATCTTTCTGATCTAGCA